CGACGAAAATTATAATGTCATCTGTATGAAATTGTCTATTAAATGCCCCCTAATTACCTACTAAAGAACAAATATACGACAACTCTTGTCGACTGCTGTGGGCATATGTTTAGTTGCCTGGCAACCTATCTTTTCAAATAAATAAAGTCCAGTTTGTTTTAAAGACCTGTAAGCTTGGGGGGATTGAATGTGTAAAAGAATAGCCAATCTAATTATCATTGGGTGCCATCTTTTCCCAGAAGACTTTCTGTTAAAAAAAAATTTTGTTCCTTCCAAAACAAGTCAAGAAAAAGGCTTGTAATTGTTTCTTTATCCATGATATCTAACAGGCTTTTATGCAATTGTTCAGAAACTTCTTCGCTTTCATTTCTTAATCTTTTTTTGATGGTCTTTAATTCTTTTTCTAATCTACTATTTTTTACTCTGATATCTTTTAATGCTTTTGATAATTTTTCTTTCGAAGTTTTTGCTAACGGTGTATTCTTGTTTAAATTAATTGTTCTTTTTCTAGCAATGTCTAATCTGTTTTTTTTTTTGTTTAAGAATATTCTTTGGGTTTTTTTACATTCTGTGCAGACTGGCCCAATAACAAGACATTTAACCATAGTCTGCATAGAATTTATATGTTGCTTGATCACGACCTCTGATACATCTATTATTAGATCTTTTTCAACTACACCCATGCACGGTTTTATCATAGTAATCTTCTCAATAATTCTTTTTATATCTTCAGATTTTGTGATAATAGATGGTTCATTAATATGAATAGTTTTAAGGTTCATACCTTCTATAAATAGCTGGTACTCCATTCCATTATCTATTTTCACACAATGTGATATTATCACAATGATATCTAAAAAAAACAACATTAAGTTAAATATATTACTGCTGTACATCTGTCAACTATTTTGTTAGATCTACTTTAGATGTACATTGATACTTTTGGTTCACAACAGGTTCAAACATAAAGCTTTAACGTCAAAGAAAAAAAAGGAAATATACCTTCATATCTGTATGCCTGTATTTAACAACATCTACTTCATTTTCATGTTGCGTAACAAACCAACCCCTTATGGTACGAAGTGTATCCAGAACAATCCATTTTGTGATAACTGTCTGAGTTGATTCTTTAAATTCTTCAGGTTCAGTTGTCAAACTTATCCCTTTAAGCTACAATTAAAGGAGCCACATCTTTAACTCAATATCATCCACAGGCTTTGACCTATTGGTCAATTTAAATCAACATTGATGTTGTTATCTTACCGTGAAAAGTTGGGCTTCTGATATCCAATATCTAAGACAAAATAAAAATTATAAAATTGGTAGACAAATTGCATGTGCATGTGCAGTTTTTAAGGATAGTCCAGTTTTTAAGGATAGTCCAGTTTAAAGTATGTGTTAACGTTGTTGAAAGAATATGCTTATCAAGTGAAATATCAATAATATCCCACTCGTTAATTATCAATAATATCCCACTGGCTTATGATGTCATAGTTATTAAGTATAACGTATCACACATCCTATGACTTCTTGTACCAGTAGTTATGAATTGTAATTTACATGTTGAATACCTTGAAATGAGTACAAAAAAACTATATATACGGTATCTTAACCCTTGTCAGTGCAACCGAACACAATTTGGCGACCTATTCGGCTAGCGACCTATTCGACCGATCCAGCTGGCAACCTGTTCGTTGGCAACCTATTCAGAATAAATTCAACAGTCGCCCAAACTCAACTATTTTTATCAACCAATCAAATCCAACGTTACGTCCATCAAATGAAAGTAGAATACATGTATATTATTATTTATCCATTCCTTTAGCTCAGAATAGAGATGTAATTTCGCATTATCTTACAAAATTCTGGACATCCAACTAAATATATTCCGAAAGGTAATTAAATAAGTTTTCCAAATATTATTATTAAAAGTCGGCACAGTCATATTAAAGGGGTGCACTCACATCCTAAACATGGCCAATTTTGAAAAAAAAATTAAAGGGAAAGACCGTTAATATCCCGTGTCAAAATTCGGACCATCCTACTAAATTCTGTGGATCAAACTAAATATATTATAAAAGGTAATTGAATAAGCTTTCCAAATATTATTAGTAAAAGTTGGCTATGTTCAGGTTGAGAACGCACCCCTTTAATATGATTGTGCCAACTTTTACTAATAATATTTGGAAAGCTTATTCAATTACCGTTCAGGATATATATAGCTGGATGCTCAGAATTTTGTACGATGGTCCGAATTTTGACTCGGAATATTACCGTTCTTTCACTTTAAAATATTGAAAAATTGTCGACGTTTAGGATGAGAGCGCACCCCTTTAATATGATTGTGCCATATTTTACTAAGTATATTTGGAAAGCTTATTTAATCACCTTTTAGAATATATATAGCTGGATGCTCAGAATTTTGTACGGTGGTCCGAATTTTGACTCGGAATATTACCGTTCTTTCACTTTAAAAATATTGAAAAATAGACGACGTTTAGGATGAGAGCGCACCCCTTTAATATGATTGTGCTAACTTGTACTAATAATATTTAGAAAGCTTATTCAATTATCTTTCAGAATATATATAGCTGGATGCTCAGAATTTTGTACGATGATCCGAATTTCGACTTCGAAAAAAATACCGGCCTACCTTTGCATTTAGAATATTGAAAAATTGATTATGTTCAGGATGAGAGCACTCCACTTTAATATGATTGTGCCAACTTATACTAATAATATTTGGAAAGCTTATTCAATTACCTTTCAGAATATAGGTGGATGCTCAGAATTTTGTACGATGGCCCGAATTTTGACTCGGAATATTACCGTTCTTTCACTTTAAAATATTGAAACATTGTCGACGTTTAGGATGGGAGCGCACCCCTTTAATATGATTGTGCCATATTTTACTAAGTATATTTGGAAAGCTTATTTAATCACCTTTTAGAATATATATAGCTGGATGCTCAGAATTTTGTACGATGGTCCGAATTTTGACTCGGAATATTACCGTTCTTTCACTTTCAAATATTGAATAATTGCCGACGTTTAGGATTAGAGCGCACCCCTTTAATATGATTGTGCCAAGTTTTAATAATATTATTTAGAAAGCTTATTCAATTATCTTTCAGAATATATATAGCTGGATGCTCAGAATTTTGTACGATGATCCGAATTTCGACTTCGAAAAAAATACCGGACTATCTTTGCATTTAGAATATTGAAAAATTGATTATGTTCAGGTTGAGAGCGCGCCCTTTTAATGTGATTGTGCCAACTTGCACTAATAATATTTGGAAAGCTTATTCAATTACCTTTCAGAATATATTTGGATGCTCAGAATTTTGTACGATGGTCCGAATTTTGACTCGGAATATTACCGTTCTTTCACTTTAAAATATTGAAAAATTGTCGACGTTTAGGATGAGAGCGCACCCCTTTAATATGATTGTGCCATATTTTACTAAGTATATTTGGAAAGCTTATTTAATCACCTTTTAGAATATATATAGCTGGATGCTCAGAACTTTGTACGATGGTCCGAATTTTAACTCGGAATATTACCGTTCTTTCACTTTAAAATATTGAAAAATTGGCGACGTTTAGGATGAGAGCGCACCCCTTTAATATGATTGTGCCATATTTTACTAAGTATATTTGGAAAGCTTATTTAATCACCTTTTAGAATATATATAGCTGGATGCTCAGAATTTTGTACGATGGTCCGAATTTTGACTCGGAATATTACCGTTCTTTCACTTTAAAATATTGAAAAATTGGCGACGTTTAGGATTAGCGCGCACCCCTTTAATATGGTTGTGCCAACTTTTACTAATAATATTTGGAAAGCTTATTCAATTACCTTTCAGAATATGTATAGCTGGATGCTCAGAATTGTGTACGATGGTTCTAATTTTGACTCGGAATATTACCGTTCTTTCACTTTAAAAATATTGAAAAATAGACGACGTTTAGGATGAGAGCGCACCCCTTTAATATGATTGTGCCAACTTTTACTAATAATATTTAGAAAGCCTATTCAATATCCTTTCAGAATATATATAGCACAATGCTCAGAATTTTGTACGATGGCCTGAATTTTGACCTCAAAAAAAATACCGGCCTATCTTTGCATTTAGAATATTGACAAATTGATTATGTTCAGATTGAGAGCGCGCCCCTTTAATATGATTGTGCCAACTTTTACTAATAATATTTGGAAAGCTTATTCAATTACCTTTTAGAATATATATAGCTAGATGCTCAGAATTGTGTACGATGGTCCGAATTTTGACTCGGAATATTACCGTTCTTTCACTTTAAAAATATTGAAAAATGGACGACGTTTAGGATGAGAGCGCACCCCTTTAATATGATTGTGCCAACTTTTACTAATAATATTTAGAAAGCTTATTCAATTACCTTTCAGAATATATATAGCCGGATGCTCAGAATTTTGTACGATGATCCGAATTTTGACTCGGAATATTACCGTTCTTTCACTTTAAAATATTGAAAAATGGGCTATGTTCAGGTTGAGAGCGCACCCCTTTAATATGATTGTGCCAACTTTTACTAATAAGATTTGGAAAGCCTATTCAATTACCTTTTAGGATATATTTAGTTGGATCATCAGAATTTTGTACGATGGTCCGAATTTAGACACGGGATATTAACATTAACAGTCTTTCCGTTTAAATTTTTTTTCAAAATTGGCCATGTTTAGGATGAGAGTGCATCCCTTTAATATGACTGTGCCAACTTTTACTAATAATATTTGGAAAGATTATTTATTTACCTTTCGGAATACATTTAGTTGGATGTCCAGAATTTTGTAAGATAATGCGAAAATACATCTCTATTCTGAGCTAAAGGAATGGGTAAATAATTAAATATTCTACTTTCATTTGATAGACGTAACGTTGGATTTGATTGGTTGATAAAAATAGATGAGTTTGGGCGACTGTTGAATTTATTCTGAATAGGTTGCCAACGAACAGGTTGCCAGCTGGATCGGTCGAATAGGTCGCTAGCCGAATAGGTCACCAAATTGTGTTCAGTGTCAGTGCACGTGGGGTCTCCGTGGACCCCATGCATATGTTTTATTGTGTTTTGAAATAACTACTGGTCACTGCTTTCTGAAATTTAGTGACTTTGTCTCCTATACATTTTTACACGTAGCGATCGAGTTCGGTATCCATCTGCTTCCCACATGCCGAGTTATGTTACATGCAAATCAGGCCCAACGCTTGAAGGGAACAACGGGTCCAATAGGGCCGATAAGTAAATCCCGCAAAATTGCGAGATTTCACGAGAAATTGAACTTCCGGTGACATGTGTCAAAATCACGCGATTTTTTTAGCCTGATAATGCAATGGTGAAAGCAAGCGAGTGAATCGGGTTATATATTTATTTATTTGTGCCTTACTCCAAACAATGTTGTGATCTTCGCTCACCAGTAATTATTTATACGAAAAACAATGTCATAAAATATGCAAAAGGGAGAGTTGTGGAGATTTATTAGCTGTAAAAATGACGAAGCGACGATCGACTGACTGCCGTCTGCCTGCACGATTAAACTCGTTGAGTCCTGCAAGCAGGTATGTTGAAAATCCTTTATCATTAGTATTAGTATTAGGCCTATAATTTGTACAATCTAGTCATCGTTCCATTTATTTGAGAAAATATAAATCAAGCGATTGAATAATAATAATGTAGTGACTGGTTAATATATAAAGTTCAATACCGGGGACAATTGTCAGCAAAACAGTACTGGCACTGGGCTTGGGCTGTCACATCGAGCGGCTTACGCTTACATACCAAGCACTATTGTTTACTGTATTCATTCACGCATAATATATTACGGATTGTCTTTTGACTTGGAATAGTCATACACACATTCATCCACTTCCCAAACCACTGAACTTCGAAAAGTGTTTCTAAGTAATATATTGAAGTGAGCACCCTTATAGTTATACTCTTATTATTTTACAAAGTTTTGGAATTAATAAAAAGGCAAAATAAGATGTAGATTTAGCTGAGTATTTTGTTTTTAAATTAAATTTAATTTAAATAATTTTAACCAATTGGAGAATAATGTGCAGCTAAGCAGAATATCAGTGGAATTTGGAATATTATTTCTTTGTGAGAAGAATAACATTATAATGAATATCAGATTGGTGTCATGAAAGGGGTGGATTTGTACATAAATTAGGGCCTTTTTGGGAAAATACAAAGATGCTGGTTGAAGCCTAAAGGAACTCTTTAAAAACCTTTATCAAAGTCTTGTGCAAATTCGAACTACCTGAACTGGTGGTACTTTCTTGGCATTGAGTTTGATTTGATTATAAACCCATCTGTAAAGTCATAGCCTATGAAATCTGAGAACTGCCTTTAATTTAGGCATAACTTATAACAAAAACTGAATTTTTATTAATTCAGGTGTAAAAATTATTTGTGGACACTGAAATTGCCTGAAGAAACATTATATTATGTTCAAACATACTAATAATTAATGTATTTTTTTTTCCAGCCAACCAATATAGAAGCCTCTGTATTTACTTTTATGAAGAACTTTCATTTGATGACCACAGGGATTTTTAAACCGATAAATTTCTAACATGGAAGGACAATGTAAATATTATGCTTAAATAACCACCGGCACTGAGCGATTGATTCATCCATAAATCCTAATTTAAAAAAAGTTGTTTACATTGAACAATAACCAGGCTTGTAATGTGAGCGCCTGAATGACTTTGAAATGCATATTTCTTGTAAAGAAATCTTGTAAAGGATTGGAATACATTTAAATCTCAACTGTACATTAGCCACTTTTAGTTACACATTTGTTTTGAAATAATTTCAATAAATATATTAAATGAAATCTTTGGATTATTGTAATATATTACTATCTAACTGAATATTCGGGGAATGTACTAGGTATATAGATTATCTACGGTACTAATGAAATTATGAATTTTCCTCACTCAATGAAATGAACCTGTATTCAGTAAACTGCAAATATTATCGATTTTGAATTGAATTTGACTCCCCCCACCCCCCTTTATGATGGCATAAAACCATTTATTGTAACTTTTATACAGGTATCCTGTGAAATCTCAGAATTTTCCTTTAATTTAAAGAACATTTCTTTTTGCCTTCAAATGTAGGTAAGACTTGCATGTAGTACATGAGCAAATTTTCAAGGTCACAAAAAGTTTAGCTTTACACAGTTTGAACTATAAGTATAAGGATAGATCAGGATAGTGATGTCTTTGGATCACGTGGCTAAGACGCTGGCTCGCTAGCCTGGAGGTCGGGTGTTCGATCCCTGCATTGGCCGAGAAAGTTCATCGTGATTTTCCGGCGTGGTTCCCCCTTATCAGTGATGCCGGACGGAGGGCCTGACAAGGACAGCTGTCTAGTCCTTCGAATGACACGTAAAACCGAGGTCCCGTGTATACATTAGAATGCATGTAAAAGATCCCTTGGCAGTTGGAATTCGATATAAGACTAAGAGTAGGCGATAGTGCCACTGCCCGGGCAAAATTTCCCTCATAGCACACTGTATGGCGTATGCCAGTCTTCATTAGCCCAGCATAGGAGAAGAATAGGATGTTAAACCCCATTTCATTCCATTCATTTGGATTTTGTGGGTCTATTATATTGTAAAAGTAAATCCACAACTATTCACATTTCAAATTTATTATTTCCATTAAAAAACAAAATTATTTCGTTCTGATTCGCACATTGACAAATGTTCTTGGTAGTCTATGACAAATGAACTTGATGCCAATCCAAACTTGATATCTAATTCACTCTCTATTTTAAAATAGTCTTCTTTTCAAACATCAGTTGTCTTGTAACTTCTATAATATACTATTCAAAAAAAGTAGGGGATATTTGATTTTGGGGGCATAATACTAAAATATGCAAATGACTACGAAAAAAGTCACTATAGAACCTAACAGAAGAAACATTTCCAGTTACATGTGACGCCCAAACGCACCAATAGCTACCGCATGGAATGCAGGTGATGCTTGGGATCATCATGGGGGTCCAACCCAAGATTTGCACGACTCTGACTTTGAATGTTACAGTCATTGTGGCATTGAATTCCAGGGTGGAAACATCAGTTTAATTGTTTTAGTGACCAGAAAACAAATTTTGATATGCGTCGGCTTACCCAGATCGGCACAACACAGGCGGTTGTGGCGCGGACGATGAATGTTTCTCAGTCTGTCATAAGCAGGCTATGGTCCAGATACCGTGATACACAATCTGTACAGGACAGACCACGCTCAGGTCGACCAAGGGCGACAACTCAAGCCCAGGATCGATTTATCCGTACCTTGGCCTTGAGAAATCGTGTCATCACAGCAAATCAGATCAGCGCTCGTCTTCAAACAGACACTGGTGTGAGAGTGAGTGGCCAGACGATTCGGAATCGACTGCATAGGGGTCACCTTCGCGCCCGACGTCCTCGCGTGATCCCTTGTTTGAGAGATCATCACATTCAGGCAAGACGTCGTTGGTGTAGGGATCGTCAACACTGGGATAATCGACGCTGGAGCAATGTGATGTTTTCAGATGAGTCAAGGTTCACGGTTGATTTTTTGGACAGACGTAGGAGGGTGTGGCGTCGTCGAAACGAGTGCTTCCAAGACGTTAACGTCATCAGACATGATCGATTTGGGGGTGGTTCTGTTATGGTGTGGGGAGGCATCACTGTTGCTGGAAGAACGGCTTTACATGTTGTTGCAGGGCGTGTTACAGGCCAGTGCTACCGGGACAACATCTTGGCAGTCCATGTTGTGCCGTTCGCACGACGTCATGGCCGCCGTTTCATCTTCCAGGATGACAACGCAAGATGTCACAGGGCCAGGATCGTTACAGGTTACCTCCAACAACAGAACATCACCTTGGCCAGCACTGAGTCCCGACCTCTCCCCCATCGAGCATGTCTGGGACATGCTTGGACAGAGGTTACGTCAACGTCAACAACGTCCTGCCAATGTACAAGAACTTGCTGCTGCGTTGCAACAGGAATGGGACAATCTGGACCAAAATGACCTTAGACGTCTCATTAGGAGTATGCCACGTCGGATCAATGCTTGTTTGGCAAACAGAGGAGGATTTACCCGTTACTGACTTGGTTGTGATGCTGTGGTAACTTTGCTGTTTGACCCCGGGTATCATTTTACCCTTATAATGGTCAGTCTGTGCCTTACTTAGTCTAACGATCATTTGGAATAAATCGATGAATGTGAACTTCATTTCATTTTGTCATTTGTTTCTTCGTCAGTTTCATTAGGTGACTTTAATAACACTTAAAAATCAAATATCCCCTACTTTTTTTGAATAGTATATATAAAATCACCCGGTCTGCTAAATAAGCGACCGTGATATCCATAAAATCCACTGGTAAGCCAGACAGGCGACCATTTCTAATCTGCATTAAAACACACCCCACTTCAGCTAATCAACCCTCTTATATAGGCCAACAGCACGTGCACTCCAAGATTATACAAGAGTTTGGGCGATCCATATAGGTAGTCGAGTTTAGGCAACCCATCAATGTGGTTGAGTTTGGGAGAGCCAAACCTACTCTGAACGTTGAAAACCTGTCAAGTTACGAAATCACTACAGTACTTCACATTGAGTTTTTTTTTATTTTAAAACACAAATAGGCCTACTAATAACATATTTTCCAAATTGGCATTACCGGTACTTTTAATTATAACCCATGTGAATAATTCTTTTAACTTTATATAACAATCAAGACATTAAAATTTAAATTTCACGAAGCACTAAATGTGCAGGCGGAGGAATAATGTACTGGTAATGGGGTTTGTTTGTAAACAAATCTTACTCAGACCGCTACCTTTCGAAAAAGGCTAAAACTGCAAAACCAAGGCTTGGTCCGTAGGGGCTACTATTTCGAGATTAAAATGAAATATTTTATTAAGATATATGTTTAAATAATTGATTTACATACCTTGATAAACAAACTAAAATATCTGTTATTTTTCTTTTGTAAAACAAAAGTAATTGGTGCCGCAAACACATCATTGATTCACATTATTCAATGCCTTGCGAAGCATCGTATTTTCCGCCATGCGCGGTGCATGTCACCGGAAGTAGATTACCGAAGAAATCGTCGCGAGACTTAGCGGACCTATCGGACCCCTAACTTACAACTCACAGTAGTGATTTTGCTAATGTGTTTTCTGCCCGATACCATATTGGGTATGCCAGAGTATTCTCTCTTTTAACATCTGCATGTTACAAATACCAAATTAAATGATGAATTCCAAATATTCAATGATTTGTGTATCAAGCGTGAATTGCCATTTAACCTCTTTATCACATAGTACACAAAGTAGCAATTTTGTTAGAATTAATAAATCTTTTCCAAATGTCACTAAAATGTTTTTGTGTAATAATTTAGTTGTTTTTCAGTTGTCAAATATGAATGCAAATAAAGACTAAACCACTGCCATTTAATTCAAATATCTGTACGTAAAAACTTTGAATTATAACTGGGGTCCATATGGACCCCTTGATACCTGCTATGTGATTCTCACAACGTGAACCCACGTATATAAATCGTATAAATAAAATATTCGGAAAATAAGCTAAGGCGTATGCAAAAGAAGGTGTTGGACACTATTCGTGAAAAAATGGAATTGACATGTTGTTATTTGTATTAATGTATAAATAAAATATTAAAAATTCATGTAATACCGGTTTTTAAATTTGTGGGATGAAATGACCCGATATAAGTGGGATGAAAGGACCCGTGTAAATTTGGGATGAAACAGCCCGAGATAAACTGGTAGTGGGATGAAACGACCTGCTCCCTATTTCGTAAACGCTGATAAACAATATTATATGTAACGAAGTGTATATTTTGCCGTCTGGCGGTTCTTTACTTTATTTACTATTTAGCCGTACTTTCGTTCGACATGCGCAGTTGTCGATTCCTGATATATTCCACCATTTTGGAACATTAAAAACAACTCGTCTTTCAAGTTCGGCGCAGAAGCACGATTTTACGGGAAAAACATAAACCACTGAGAGACTGACAGTCTATATATAAGTACTTAAATTCAAAACCAAAATCTGCAGAAATAGAATAATATTCTAAATGCTTTTCTACAATTTACATATTTATTATCTTATTTTCTTTTAAAAATAATTCTCCAGTTTCTACCATCAGAAATTCAAGTATGGCTATTAGCTTCCTTATAAGAAACAGAGAAAGAAGCAATGTTAGACAAAGGATGAATAGAACTGTCTGGTGGTTTTGGGTTAGGTTTGGTTATGGGTTAATGTCAGACGGTAAAATAGTCCACGAGTTGATAAAAGCCGGCATCGTTGCCAAAGCGAAAACTGCGAAGTCCAGGAATCAGACAACTGCGCATGTCAAACGGAGGTGACGGCTAAATACTAGTAAAGGACCGTCGGACGGCAAAATATACACTGCCTATTATATGTAATGTTGATCAGCAAAATATCACAGTAAATTATATATAAAACAATTTACCATGAATGACTTTATACAAAAAAAAACCTTGTACGGCCACGCCAAATGTAGTGAACGAGTGGACGTAAGTGTAAAACGTAAACCGGAAGTTGATAGTGTTGGTGTCACGTGGTTTACCACAGCTTTATTTACGCATGCGCTGTTATAAGATTGGGGAGCGCAAATACCACTCGGCAAACCTCGGCATATTCCGGTACCGCGTAGAATCTGTCGAGGTTTGCCGAATGCGCAAATACATGGTAAATGATAAAGCGTACTAAGCGAGACCGCTGTTGAGCGAGGCCGCATGTCAGTCAATTTGATTGACAGTTCGATATACGGCCTTTGATAGTATG